ATTTTTAGTAGAGACGGGGTTTCACCATGTTGGTCAGGTTGGTCTCAAACTCCTGACCTCAGGTGGTCTGCCCGCCTCAGCCTCCCGAAGTGCTGGGATTACAGATGTGAGCCACCGTGCCCAGCCTAATGATATGCTTTAATTAAGCCAGTATATCTACAGTATTACCGTTTCCATATATTATCAATGTGAAAATATCATTAATGAAACATTTTACATTCCTTTTGTTTTTTTCCCAGTCCTTCATGACTTCGGAAATATTTCCTTTTTTTCTGTACTGAAGTGTCTTTAAAATCCAGTGTCCATTGGATGCTTACAACAGGTCTCAACTCTGAGGGTAAATTTTTCCTGGAAAGAGGAGAAAAAGGAGGGAAGTTGAAAAAGCTAATTCAGGCCTGGCGCGGTGGTTCACACCTGTAATCCCAGCACTTTGGGAGGCCGAGGCAGGCAGATCACGAGGTCAGGAGATCGAGACCATCCTGGCTAACACAGTGAAACCCCATCTCTACTAAAAATACAGAAAAGGTAGCCGGGCGTGGTGGCGGGTGCCTGTAGTCCCAGCTACTCGGGAGGCTAAGGCAGGAGAATGGCGTGAACCCAGGTGGCGGAGTTTGCAGTGAGCCGAGATCGCGCTACTGCACTGCAGCCTGGGCGACAGAGCAAGACTCCATCTCAAAAAAAAAAAGAAAAAAGAAAAAGCAGATTCACATGCCCAAGTTGTTCCAACTATGCCTGAAAGTCACATCAAGTGTTTAATTTTTGTTTTGTTTTGTTTTGTTTTTGAGATGGAGTTTCACTCTTGTTGCCCAGGCTGGAGTACAATGGTGTGATCTTGGCTCACGACAACCTCCGCCTCCCGGGTTCAAGCGATGCCTTAGCTTTCTGAGTAGCTGGAATTACAGGCACCCGCCACCACGCCCAGCTGATTTTTTAATATTTGTAGTAGAGACAGAGTTTCACCATTTTGGCCAGGCTGGTTGTTTTGTTTTTGAGACAGGGTCTTGCTCTCTTGCCCACGCTGAAGTGCAGTTGGGCTCAAATGATCCTCCCACCTCAGCCTCTGAAGCTGCTGGGACCATAGTCGTGCCATGCCCAGCTAATTGCTTTTTGTTGTTGTTGTTGTTGTCGTTGTTGTTGTTTGTTGTTGTTTAGATAGGGTCTCGCTACATTGCCCAGGCTAGTCTCAAACTCCTGGGCTCTGGCGATTCACCTGCCTGGGCCTCCCAAAGTGCTGGGATTACAGGCGTGAGCCACCATGCCCAGCTGGTGTCAGTTTTTACATTTATATTTTAGATACTTAAATTTTTTTAATTTGGCTCCCCAGTCAACTAGTCACATTTCAGGGGCCCAGCATCCCCCTGTGGCTAATGGGGACTGAACTGGGCAGGGCAGGTATAGACTGTGAGGACACAGCTGTGTGAGCAAAGCAGTTGACAGCTGACCAAGGGACCAGGCTGACTACATGTGACACACCAGCCTGACATCAGCCAGCTGTGTGACCTTGGGCAAGTCACCTCCCCTCTCTGTGTCTGGTCTTCCAAACTGGCATACTCCTAGCATGGGCCTCTAGGGCTCCTGTCCTGATTCAGTGAGAGACTAGGTGCCAGGTGCCTGCTCATGGCATCTGCTATTGGGGACAGCTGATGGCTGAGGAGCAGTTAGCCTGAGATTCAGGTTGCTGTGTGGAGTGTTCTAGACAAGGGTAAGGCAGTTCCTAAACCCCCCACCCCTTGGCCTTCTCCTGCCTGTCTTTTCAATTTCAGTTCAGCTGCCCCTTCCTCCAGGAAGCCCTCTCTGATTCCCCCTTCCTCAGACCATGCCAGGTACTTTACATGGGCTTCTTGGGGGCTGCTTCTCCACAACCCCAAGATGCTCTCCACCACGGCTCTGACCTCTCTGGGGGTAACCCATGTATTCTTTGCCCTGGACTTTGTGCCGTGCAAGGACAAGCAGCCCCTAGCCTCCCTGATGCTGTGTCCTCAGCATCAGCCAAGGGCCCGACAGGCCACAGGCACACAAATGATTCTGGCTGAAGGAACCGGCCTGGCTCTGGCATCCCTAGTTCCAGGCATCAGGGGAAAGGAGTCCCCTCTCACCTCCCCCTCCTCTCTGCCCTCCCCTCCCACCCTTCCCAGGTGGTGAAGCTGAAACAGATCGAACATACCCTGAATGAAAAGCGCATCCTGCAAGCCGTCAACTTTCCGTTCCTCGTCAAACTCGAGTTCTCCTTCAAGGTGGGGTCCCAGTGGCCAAGGGGCAAGGTCACTGCACTGGGTCCCAGCCTTCTGGCCCCCAGGGCTGGGGTCGGAGCTGAGGACAATCAGTGGCTGCCCTCTTTTGTGGAAGAACAAGATCCCTGGAGGAGGGAGACAAGGGGACAGGAGTCAGGCTGGGACTCTGGTAGACCCAAGTTCAGTTCCTGGGCCGGCCAATTTGTAGCTCGATACCCTTGGCGAGTCACCCAACCTCAATAACATCCCTCAAAAGCAGCACCTGGTTTATGGCAAGAGCGTGACCCGGGAGCACAAACGCTGTCCCAGGCAGCCGGGGCTCAGTTCCCAGCTCAGTACTTCCTGATGTGTGGCCCCAGGCAAGAGACTTATCTCCCCGAACCTCAGTTTTCTCATCTGTAAAATGGGGATCATACCAGTTCCAACCTGGTGGCGTTGTCATGACAGTTGCAGGCACGTCTTGAGCACCCTTTGGGAACCGTTGTGGGTGCCATCCAAAGCTGTAGTCATGAGAAACAGGAAAGGCCACTCAGGGCCAGCTTCATGGGCGTTCGACCCAGAGAAGCACAAGGGTCTATGCTCCAAGGGACCCTACACCTGGTTTAATGCTTTGCTGCTGCTGCTGCTGTCTTGAGATCTGTAATAATTTTTTGTTGTTGTTGAGACAGAGTCTTACTCTGTGGCTCAGGCTGGAATGCAGTGGCGCGATCTTGGCTCACT